ATAATTTCCTCCAATAAACTTCCTTCTAATAAATTTGTCTTAAATATTTATTATCTTCAATAACTCTCTTCTAAATATTTTATTACATAAAGAATTATTATTATTAAAAACTGCTACCGAAAATAATTAAAAAAACCAAATATATCAAAATCGCTACTCAAAATAATTAACAAATAAATATATCAAAACAAATATATATATATATATATATATATATATATATATATCAAAATAAAAGGAAAAATTTGGATAAAATAATTTTTATAATTACTAATTATTATTATATTTTTGCAAAATTTAAAAAAATTTAATGTCATTTGATTAACATTGATAAAATTAAAACGGTATTAATTAATGTTAATACAAGAAAAATTGAAAAAAAAATATTTTATGTAACACTTACTTAAAAAATAAGTGTATTTAGACTTATTTCACTTAATAATTTATGTTTTATAAAATTTAAAAATTATTTAATACTCAATTTTTTTAATTCAAATTGACGGATAATTCAAATTTTTAATGTATAGATTGAATTTGTAAATTTTTAATTGATGTAAAAGAAAATTATTTTTTAAAAATACTTTGACTAAATTAAAAAACTAAAATATCAAAATTAATTTTGCATGTTGTTGAAGAAAAATTCATATCAAGTAGTCAAATTAGTCTCAATGTATATATATACTTAATTTATCATTAACTTCTTTAAATACTAGCATTCCATTCAAATTTCAACGAAGATAATTTTCTCAAGGTCAATCTTTAAAACATTTTGAGGTGTATCTTTCAAGACAAATTTTTTCTCATAGTCTATTATTATATGTAACAATTTCAAGTGTTACATCGAAAAGTGAATTGAAAATTTTAGTTACCAAGAAAGAAAATGAATATTCAAATATTTGTTTTTAATGTTGTTTATAAAAAAACTTTTAATAATTTTTTTAGAGGATTTTTTAATAATTTATAATAACAAATTAATATATATTTATTTTTAATATTATTTTGTGACTTATTCTTAATATTATTATATTTTATATCTATCAATTTATAATCATATAATCAGTTAAATATCAAAATAAATCGTACATTGTACAAGTATCGAATCTAGTTTGATCTAACAATTTATACTTACAGTTTATTTATTACAATAAAAAAAATACTTTTCATTTAATAATTATTACATTTTCATATATGCATACTTGTTGAACTCCTGAGAGCACACTATTGTGTCTGTTATATTCATTGTTGTAATTGTCCGAATGGCATAGCTTTTTTTCCCTTTAAACATGTGTTTTATTTTTTTTAAATATCAGACTTTGATTATTTATAAAAAAAATTATTTATTTATATTTCTCTAAAAAAAATAAAAATATATTTGTTTCGATCCTACTTCTATATGATATTTGTTTAGAAGAAGGTTTGCATGACATTTGTTAATGACATAAATGTTAAGTGTTAGTTTAAAGACCATCTTGTCATAACTAATACTCACTAATATATGTGGTAACATATCAACATATAACATTTTATTTTCAAAATATTTTGAAATAAGTATTATTTATCTATTTTAAAATGAAGATTAAGGATTGAAACTAGTAAGTTCAGATTTTAAAGAGATAAAAAAAAATAGTTATAAAACCAAAAATCTAAATTTGTTTATTTTACATGAACTAAAACCAATAATTTTGAATTCTTGAGGATTCCAAAAAAATTATAGTAATTAAAATAAAAATTTGCTTATTTTATAAAGGTTAAAATATATTTAATATTTTTCAAATTATAATTATTATTACTCTTATTTATTTATTTTTCTGTAGCATAATCGGAATTCTGAATTGACTTAAAGCAGTTCAAGGCCCGGCTCGGTATTGGCCCAAGCATTAGAAGCGTTTACGAGTTTGGACCTAAACGTAGGTCTAAATCTAAATTGCACAATCAAAAGTGGGTCAAAGACATAAGTCCATGACTACAGGCCTAATGGTAGCCCTTTCAAACGCTAAACTTATATTCTAATTCAAATCGAAAGACATAAAATTTGCAAAAAAGAAGTATACTAAAGATATTTTATCCCCTCAAAAGCATAAGTAAAAAATAAATAAAATTTTAACCTTTCCATTCTTATGTTATATTGAATAAATATTTGAAATATTTTCCAATTTCCATTCCAAATCCACCTTCTCTTTTTAATTATTTGTTCAAAATCAAATAAGCATGAAAACATGTTAAGGAGGGGTACTGTAGTAGCCCCAAGTTCCCGCAGAAAAATTGGGCATCTTAAAAGAGAAAATAGTCTATGCATGAATAGTGTAAAAACCCGAATTAATCTAATAGTTAGTGGAGGAGTTTATATATCTTGTTCAAATCAAGGTTTAAATTTATTGTCATTACAAGTACAAGAAAAAAATTGAATTAATTTTATATTGTTATTCAATTACAAATCACTATATTATAATAAATTTATTAATTTTTACAATATTTTTTAAAAAATTATTTTTACCATGATTTTTAAATTAATTAATAATTAAAAAATACACTAGTAGTGTATATAAATTAAGCTCTTCATTTATATGTACATCACAATATATGAGATACTATGAATATTCATAAATATCTAATAAATTATAAAAAATAATAATATAAATAATAAAAATAATGTTATTAATAAAGAGTTGATTGTGTTGAATTTGTTATTAAATAGTTATAATATTTAAGTAAACTTACATAAGGATATCCAGGCGTATGAGTATCCAAATTAAGTAAATATTTGTGCAAACTGCAAAACAAAACTTACCCGTTCCCTCATGGGGGAAAACGGAAAACATTTCATATAGGATTTTTTGTTGTTGTGAGATACTTATAAATATAGATAATTTTGTCATGTTTATTTGATATATAACGCATGCAAGGACAGAGAAGCCAGAGATGCTTTCGGATTAAGGGTCTCCCTCCCCTTCTAAAAAAAAAGGATTTCTTATATGTTATAAAAAATTGTAACTAATTAATATTTTGGTTTTCTCTTTTTCTTAGTAAGACATGAATATAACTTATGATAAGTTTACTTGTAGTTAACTTTTTAACAATTTAATAAGTTGAAAATCTAGTCTTTTAGGCTTAATTGTACTTTACTTGAATGACTAATTTCAATTTTATTTTGACCCTATATATTAGCTTTAATTTAAAATGAAAAATATAGGAAGGGTTCAAATTGCCCAAAATTGTTCTTATTAATTAATTCTGTTTTTTCAAGCTATCTAAATCAAGTACTTTCACATAATAAAGTAAAATTAGTTTAACTTTGTTGAAAATTATTCAAATTGATTTATAAGCTAGATCACTGCAACATATTTTTATCATTATAAACAGCTAAAATCCGTCGGTAATAGAAAAATCCATTGATTTTTATTGATGAACTTCCTTTGATTTCTTTTTACAAGTAAAAAGCTAATAACAGGAGAAGAATACGGTGCTTCAAAAAACTAATTAATGTATTAATTAGAAGCATGGGTTTGGTTTTGGGAATCATTTGCTTCATTCATTTGGTTAGTTATCAAATCAACTAACTGTATTAATTTAAACCATGGGTTATGTTGACTCATGGTCTTTGGAAATCATTCACTTCATTAACGTGGTTAGTTTTCAGATCATTTAATTGTATTAAAACCATGGGTATAGTATAGGCAGTCTAATAAGATTTTCACAGCTTTAATGTTGGTTGCGTGCTTTGCTAAATCTAGTATACAATTAATTCTATCAAAGCTTCAATCTTTCAAAAAATTTAAATACTAGTCATATTTTATGATTTATACTATATTGATTAAACATTATTATTTTAATCAGAAAAGGATAAATATTAATCGGTGCCTAAATATATTAATTAAGGAATTAAAAAAATGATTTGTTTAAAATAGGTGAGACTGTGACGACATTCAAATCTTACCTAGTGCTTTGCACTTCTCAGTGTAAATTATCTGAGTCATTTTTCATACCCAAATATTAGTCCTCGTCCATGCATGGTTGTCATCTTTCCTTAACCTACAATATCAAAAGCATCTATATGTATACATATTAATAAATCGACGATGGCCACATAAATTGCATGTTTCTCATTGATTGCGGATATGCTTGCAACTTTTACGTTAGTGACTAGATGTGTTACCTTAATATTTTATTTTGTTTTCCCTCTGTTGATGACTCAGACGTAGTACCTACAAAGAATGACTGAAAAAGAATGTAGGAAACGTTTAGCTCGTTCATAATTTTCGTACCATAAAGGGCCCAAGAATCTTCTTTCTTTTCTCCATTTGCGAATACCATTTCAAAATGCCCTGCTAAGAATCTTATCATTAGTTGAACACTTAATATGGAAAAAGGAAAATATAACTAGAAGTCTAGAATAGACCAAAACATGAACAACAAAAATAAATGACGGCGAGCGAAGCATCGACAATATTTGTACTTCATCATAAGATAATGTCATACTTTGTAATCAATAATAACATTGAAATTGTGATTAAATGTATAATAAATTATAAAATTATTAAATGTTTAACCATTATTTCTTCAAAGGATAGTTAGAATTATAATTTAATGAGGTTTTAGTGGGTTGTGACGATTTGAGTTTTATAAACTTGTTTTGATTTTCCATTCAATCATTTTCGTTAACTTATAAATTCTTAGGCATGCACCTATGATTAAATTTATGGTGTTAAATATTTTATGACAAAATTACCGCAAGGTAGTTAAGTGGTAATGATTATGGTTTGAGTTTTCCTTTCCACGTCCATTCTGTGTACCTAATGATTATTACAAATCTAGTTTTTTTATACTTTTTAGCTAGCTTATGCTTGTAAGTAATGCAATAGTGAAAACTTTATCTTGAAGCAAATTATAAAGTAATGAAAGATATTCATTTCTGATATAGTTATATATATGTCAGCTAGATTCCATGCATTTTCGCTAAAACCAGCATTCGGGAAGAATATACAAGAAGCTAACAATGCTATCTTTAACTCATTCCCTATTCACCACCATTTTCTTAGTGCTAGTAATCCTTCTTCATCCATCAAATGCTCAACTGAGTTCAACATTCTACTCCAGCACATGCCCCAACGTGTCTTCCATTGTGCGCAATGTTATTCAGCAGGCTCTGCAATCTGATTCCCGTATTGTTGCGAGCCTAACTCGTCTTCATTTTCATGATTGCTTTGTTAATGTAAATCCCATGTACACAATCTATTAATTTAAACCTCCAAACAAATTTTCAAGCACGTGTATATGTAATTTATGGTCTCGTGCACTATCAGATCAGATATCAAAGCTTAGAGTTTAGACGACTAATACTAATAAATATTTTTGTGTTTCAGGGATGTGATGGATCACTTTTGTTAGACCAAGGTGGCAACATAACACTGAGTGAGAAAAATGCAAATCCCAACAATAATTCCGCTCGTGGCTTTGATGTAGTGGACAACATAAAGACATCTCTTGAAAATTCATGCCCTGGTGTTGTATCTTGTGCTGATATACTTGCCCTTGCTGCTGAAGCTTCTGTGTCTTTGGTAATTTTATAACTTGTTATTAGTCGATGGTTCTCCTTAATTATCTTATCAAATTTCTTGCAAGCCAATATTTATGTGTGCCAAAAAGGAGGATGTAGAGGTGTTCACATTAAAGTATTTATGAATTATTATTATGATGATGACATATATTTGAATTTTGAAGGCAGGAGGCCCTTCATGGAATGTACTACTAGGCAGAAGGGACGGTTTGATTGCAAACCAATCTGGTGCCAACACCGCCATCCCAGCTCCAACGGAAAGCCTGGCCAATATCTCAGCCAAATTTGCTGCCGTTGGCCTAAACACAACTGATCTTGTTGCATTATCTGGTAATCTTACTCTCTCGAAAAATTATTAAACTGTCCTAAATCACATGATTCATAACTAGTCTCAACATAAAAAATGAATAAAGAGAGAGGCAAGTGGTCCTAAAACAATTTAAATGCATATTATAAAATGATTAGTTAAAACTATAGATACTTATATAATAGTTCTAAATTTTCTAATAATTTTTTCTCCCATTCTTTGTGTGTATGCATGAACAAACTTTAGAAAAGTACACCTCTCATAATCAATAAGGATCATTAAGTGTAGATATTAATTCAACACTTATTTAATAGGAACTTGTCAAACAAAAAAGTGGACAGTATGGAAATCATTATCCATTTCATATATCTTAAAAATCTGATTTTTCAACCGTTAGCCAAGAGAAGTACGGTCTAAAACGTACGTTGTAGTGTAAGTTTAGAGCAAGATCTTTTAAATGTTATACCTAATTAAGTACACGTTATAAAGAGTAAATAAAATACGCACTATGAATATAAAAACATTTTAATTACATCATTGATCGATCACAGATATGTAAGGTAAATTTATTAATTTTCATAATAACTATCTTAAAATCTTTACACTGTCAGTCTCAGTGCATAGATGTCAAAATGAATGTTATATTATTTATAAACTAAACATTTTCTGTCTACATATATACTTTCATCTAAAAGAAAATGCTGATATAATTATATGCTATTATTACCTTGGTTATTAACTTGTGGTTGAGTGTAAAGGTGCACATACATTTGGTCGTGGGCAATGTAGATTTTTCAACCAGAGACTGTTCAACTTCAGCAACACGGGAAGCCCTGATCCTACACTGAACACAACCTATTTAGCCACCCTGCAGCAAAGTTGTCCACAAAACGGAAGTGGGACCACACTGAACAACCTTGACCCTTCATCCCCAGACACATTTGACAACAACTACTTCAAAAATCTTCTCATCAATCAGGGCCTTCTCCAATCAGACCAAGAACTCTTTTCCACTAATGGATCAGCCACAATAGCCATTGTCAACAACTTCGCCAACAACCAAACCGCATTCTTTGAAGCCTTTGCTCAGTCCATGATCAATATGGGTAATATTAGCCCCTTAACTGGAAGCCAGGGAGAAATCAGAACCGATTGTAAGAAAGTCAATGGAAGTTAAAAATGAGAGCATCTCATAAGCCACAACATCAATATTTATATACTCAAACTATGTAGTTTTGTGTTATTTTATTTTATTTTATTTTATTCCATGAACATGGTGCATACAATATTTCAAAATTGATAGTCAAGTTTAATCCGCGAGCTTTGGATTATTTGTTTGATCATGTGAAGATATGGTACGTCAAAATTGTTGTTTGTATATTGAACTACTAGTTTGTTTCCTGACATGAAATGATCTTATTATTATAAGTACTCCTAATAAAAATTAACATGTATGTATACTTTTAATTAGTTAATACTTGATTCAGCAGGCACTTAATTTCTTCTTAGTACAGAGTATTTATGATTAGCTAGATGCTACTTATTTGCAAATTACAACTAGTAGTGTGTGCTCCGTTGATGAAAGTAGGGAAATGCATGTGGAATGACCCGAATGGTTCAATTAATACCGTGAGCAAGGTTGGAACGAAGATTAAGTGGCACAAAGATCATAACCATTAACAGAACAAAAAAAGGTTGAAGAAAAGGTATATTTATCATACGACCTGGGAATATTAAATAATTCAATAAAATATATTCAGATCAACACAGTGGAAACCAGAAGATAAAGAAAATTTCTTGATGGTATTGTATGCCTTGGAGAAGAGCAGGTTTAGTGACTAAAACATAGAACAAAATGGCATTTATAGAGCTCTACCCATCATAGAACTCAACTGACACAATGCAACGTTCAGAATAGTGGGTACCAGATTTTTTGTCAACCAAATATGTTTCAAAAATGATGCTGTTGATAATGGTTTGAATGTAAGCTAAAAAGAAAAACATTCATATAAAAATGTTTGCAGAAAGGCAGGAAGAGAAGTAAAAGACAAAGGAATTTTTGAAAAAGATTTTGTATTTGTCTTTATGTCTCGCTGTACAATATGAAGACTAACTCTAATACACCTAAAAAAAATCTTTGGAAAAAATATTTTATAAAGTAATTACACATAAAAAAATATTATATATATATATATATATATATATATATATATATATATATATCAAGATTAACAGAGTTTTTAATTTCGAAGAGCATATATTTGCTCCATAAATCAAATATATCGGAAAGAACCCAATATCAAAAAGACAAAAACTGCCAACAGAAAATACAAATGCACTAGAAGGGATTATTATAATATGCAGTTAGAAAGTTGAGTTGTATCGTGTACAGTTTGTTTAAAACTGTAAAAGTTCCTTTGTCTGAAGGAAAATATTTATTTGAACACGAAAATGAGATAACAAGCCGTTATTTCTTTGATTTTGAAGTGTATATAGTTGGAGAAATTATTAGGTAACATAATATTACATTATATATATTTAATTTAAAATTTATGAAAAAAAGTTAAAAACATTTAAATATATGTCATGTAAAGATTAGTTAAAAATCATATGATATAAAATTACTTAATAATTTCTTGTATATATTTGAAATATATTTTAAAAAAAGGATAATAATTTGTTGTATATTTACTTAATGTTTTTTCTTTTCTTCGGTGGGAAATATTGGGAAAAATTCAAGTTTCACATCGACTAGAGATTAGGCAATTAAATAGTATATAAGTGGAAATCAACTCTTACCTTACAAGCCAGTTTTGTAAGGTTGAATTAGGCTTAAATCCACTATTCTAAGTTGGGAGAGGAGTCATTTTGCTTGCCTAAGGTTGCATTTTACATTGAGAATTGACTTTTTTATTTTATATATATAGAGAGAGAGATTGCATAAAAGTTCTACATTTTAAGATTAGTTTTAAGGCTTGTCAATTTTATACATTTTTAATAAAAAATTAAATTGTTATTAAAAATATTATTGGCTTTGTACTAGCAATATAATATAATGTATTAAACAAGATGTATAATGATATATATATATATATATATATATAATTATCATTTCCATAATTTTCATAAACTAATAAAATTGTCGTTAATATATTTAAAAGAAATAAATTTAATGAGAACATGTGTTATCCCAGAAAATGAGAGAGATAAAAATAATTAATTTTTTAAGTTAAAACTTAATTCTAAGCATCTCTTCTATAAAATCATTAATGCTATTATTGTCTCCACAATTACTATTTACTAATGTTATCACTATCACTATTATCATTGTTGCCACTAACATTGATGGATATAGGATTTTTTTTAGTGGGATAAAAAATAGTCTTTAAAATTTTCACAACAAAAGAAATTATATATATTTTTTTGTTAAATATATAATTTCAAAAGATTTATTTGCATAATTGTATGACTTACCTTGTAATGATTCGCCTTGATCACTACATTTTGTAGAATCCCCCAACTAGTAACAAAACTATTACTACTACAACTACTCACAATCATATGCATTTAGAGTTACCTATATATATATTTTCATAGTTGTATTACATACTTTTATGCATGTTATATATATATATATATATATATATGTTATATATATATATATATATATATATAACATGCATAAAAGTATGTAATACAACTATGAAAATATAACCAAGATATATATAGTAATCTAGTAATGTTAAATGTACAATTTAGGTGTCGATCAAGTACAACTATATGAAACTACTCAAAAGTAGTCACAAAATAAGACAAAAGTCACCATCTTGCTCCAAATGATATCCACATGTACATCTCAACAACTCATATCCCTACTTTACTCCCGTACAGTATAATCATCGTAATTTCAAACCACATGAAAAACATGTAAAGGCAAGCTTATGAAATAAAGATAACGTACAATCACAACATCAAATTTCACTTAAGGGAGATGAATAACATCACATCCAACTTATCAACAATACTACTCTTACAACTTGCAACATATAAAACAATTCAATTACAACATTTATAAACAACTCACAATTTAAAGCAATGTATGACCATTATCTCACATTATAAAAAACACAACACATATAAATGTAACTAAAATGCATCATCAGACATATCAACTTATGGAGATCTCCTATAACTGAGGTGAGCAATTTAAGTGGCTAGATCCTACTGAACCACATCGTTTAACCTATGTCAACTAGGTCAAGCATAGACAATGTTAGGTCTCATAAAGTGTTGGGTATAGATAACTTAATTTGATTTCTTAAGTTTTGTTACTTAGACTAGAAAGTTTAATACTACTACCAGGTAAAACAATTTAGGTATAAGCCTATCATAATATTAATCTATAAACACTATGTCCTCTATGAGATTAGTCCACCAACTACTCTCCAAATACTACACCCTTTCGATACTAGGTTAAAGACTAAGTTTTCAACTTGGTATTTTACTCGATTGATTACTTTATACACATGCGTCTCAACTTTGCACACACATGAATCCACATAAAATCTAGAAGGGACAAATTGAAAAATTACTTACTCATTTAGAGATAAATTTACCTACTGAAAGGTTTCAATTGGACTCTCATAGCACTGCAACATATATCCGTGCAATGAGATAGTCTAATTTTGAAAACAAATTACTCCCTTCTAGTTTTTATGTGTTGTAGCTAAGACATGTATATAACCCACATGTCTATAACTTATTAACTTTAGCATCTTTAACAACTCAGACAACTTACAACTTACAACTTTTACAACATAAACAATTTTTATTAACAACATCAACATTTGACTTAACAATTTTACAACTTTAGCAACATTCAACATGTCAATTTGCCACTTATTAGTTAGAACAACTTTAATCAACAACTTTACCATATGTTCAACTTGCAACTTAACAACATATATATATATATATATATATATATATATATATATATATATATCAACACATACACCATCATACATTATCATACATAAACCTTGTCATCATCATTTAACTACAAAACATTACAACTTTCATTTTACAACTCACGCTCGACGCCACTAAGACAAGGAACTCTTTGTCTCGCCCACGCTTAACGTCATTCAACCCACGCCCATCATGGGTTAAGCAAAGACCTTTAGGACCTCATGCCTAGTGTAGCCACAGCTCATGCTCGACATCACGTCAACTTAAGACGATTCTCTCTCTTCATGCTCGACACCATTCCACCACGCCCGACACTAGTTCAATCTAAGGTAATTCTCTCACACTTGAAACTACCAATCATGCACTTAATGTGACAAAGGGAGAACCCCTAGTTGAAGTTGTGCCTAGAGCCACTAAAGGTGTGCCCGACACGGCATTAGTTCTCACACATTGCAAAATTGAAAATCTCCCTAACTCTCTTGAAAAACAGCAAGATACCAACATGCAACAAAGAGTACAACATTCAGGCATCATAAATGACTCAAATATAAGATAAAAACACAACATGCATCCATCAAAATAAGGACTAGCATTTTTCAACTCTTAAGCAACTCAACTTCATTCACCTTCATCTCATGATTCCCGATCAATAATAGTAGCATTCTAGACAATTCTAAGCCACATTGACCCACATGCATCAAATATAATTTCAAAACAAGCTTCCCTTACCTTTCAAAGATTGAATCAACAAGAGGAAGAGAACGTTTGACTCCACACAGCAACAAGATGAGATTTTCAAACCCCATAAGCTTCGATCTCCAAGCTCGACTACCTTGGATTAGCTACAAGGAGGGAGTAAAAGAGAGTTCTTAACTAGAATAGGAAGAAAATGTTTGGGCTACTCAGAGAAACTTTCACTAACCTCTCACTAGGTTTTCTTGAAACTGGAACTTATGAGGTTATAGTTTTAAGAAAACCTTAACTACCCTTCCTAAGTTAACCTAACTTAACCAAGTTCACCACTCAGCTCACACCCACACAACTTAAAACCACAGTGTTACATACCTAATCTTAATGTTTGTGTCCAATAATAAGAATGAGAAAAATTAAAAAGGTAAAGGATGAGCTACCCAATTTCTTTTATCTATTTTATTTATTTTTTAGGCTATATTGAACTTTTGGTCTTTCCATTTTTACCTATTTACAATTTTGATCCCTTTATTTTAAAATAAAGATATTTAGTTCCTCTATTTTCTAAAATATAAATTTTTGGTTCTCCCATCAATTTGATGTTTGTTGATTGTTAAATTTCGACATTGTATGATGATCTATCACCACTTAATTGATGTGATATTTAATGACATTACGTATAAGGATAAAAATTAAATATAACATACAAACGTTCTTCATTTATATATACATAAACATATATATATATATATATATATATATATATATATTT